TAGAGTTAATTAATGACGTGATCACACTCTAAACAGAGCACTGCCAATGACGACCGTGCGGATCAAGTCTAATACTAATACTATGCATACACCGTCATAGTTGTTCCAAAACCACAGATCGAAAAGGATCTTTTCGTGACAGGCTAAGACTAAAACTCACGACATAACATGCTATAAAATAGGTGGCATTTTATAGCATACTTTTTGTGCTGTATTCTCCTTTAAAAATAACAATTAAATACTCGCCCATTTTCTCTCTCTCGTTTTTCGTCCTGCTTAGCAACTGAGCGTCTGAAACAGGCTATGATAAGACGGCTATCAGGTCAAGCTTTTATCGAGGTTGGTGAGGAGAGGAAACATGCGGATCTACGAACGTTGTAAAGAAGAGGTTCCACGTTTTAAAACAAAAGAGTAGATGCTCTTGACGTAATTTTTTCTTTTTTTGTACACAACAAAACCGCTCTCACTATAAACACTACTAATCAAATTTTATCATATCGCTTTACATATACGAACAATGTAAAGGTGAAAATATAACACATTTATTGCGCTAAAAGCCTAAAAATGTCGCCGGTAAAGCTTCACGTCAATGTGATCAGTTAGTAATTAAGACATTATCATGTGATGCGAAAACGTCAATGAGATACAAGCCTCAATTTGAAACATAGGCAACAAGGCAAATTTACATACCCCCTACTTATATTGATCGGGCTACTTGAGCAGACGAATAAAAGCCAAGGATCGTGGCGGTTCTGGATTAATGAACACTAATTATTTTTTAGGCGGAACATTTCAAGCATTTTGACTGTAAATATTGGTTCCCATCTGAAAGATTGAAAACTTTCACAACGTAAACGTTCTCCAGCCACCGTCTCTGTAATCTTACGTAAACACCGTCGACATCACGCAATTTATGAAGCGATAGAATAATAGCTAAGGTGGGGGTCTTAAGAATGAAGGACTGCTACTGAAATAGCCTGTATATGTATTGCATCATCTCAACAGGAAACCAGCCACAGGGCAAACCGGGTTAAAAAAACAAACGGTTGAGCGATAAGTTACTGTCATTCAAATAAGTTGTCTGCATCTTTTAAGTGCTTTCCTTTTAGTGCCTGAGGTAGTAACTTTCTCTGTTGTCACACGCAAAAGAGTAATAGCCAGTGAGCAAGAGCGGAGGCAAGAGAACAGAGGCTAGTAAGCAAGTAAACTTACTGGATGCTAAGGAGTGCTACTTCGACAGCGATGACAGCCGAGGGCGTAAAAAGAACCTAAAAATCCGGTTTTGGTAAATACACCAATGCCTAGACTGGAACCGACATAACTCTGCATTCCTCCGTAACAGAGGTTTCACGAGGCTTCGCACACGGGCCGAATGCGTTTAAAGATATGTGCGCCATAGCTATGCAACTGTACGAGGAACTCGAGTGACTTTTTGGCTCCTCAGAAGAAACAAAGCAATTAGGAGCAGTATGAAGGATTTTAAGAAGATCGGGACGAGTTGGAAGCACTGAGAGCGTTGGGAGTAGGGAACACTGAAAACACTTCATGAATTCACACAAGAAAGAAAAGGACCACATTCGGTTTTTACATCCGTCAGAGATATTGGAACTGTGATGATTTCACGATGAAAAGGCATAGCGTTTTCAAAAGAGTTAAGAATCTTTAACAACAAGTTGATTCACTGAGCAAAAATCATGTAAAGAAGTCCGAAGGCAGAATATTAATATGCGAAGGAAAGATCAGCGCGAACATAGAACATAGGCACAGGGTCGGGAACCACTGATTTCCGTGGGCAGCCCCGTTTCTTGCAACCCCAACCCCCGCCCCTTACGGTCTCTCGTGTTCCTAATGAAAACAGAACTGTCACGGCCAAGGAAGGTTTCAGGTCGACTAGGTCGACTGATTCGTCGCGTTCGCGTCTTCGCTATTAGCCTGCACACTTGTCTCTCACTTAGATAGGTTTGACGCAAGTCTATACAAAAGATGAACCAAGCTCGACAGCCAGCAAGTGCACAAGAAGAAATTTGCGAGGTGAGTCTGTGTTAAAGCAGAACAAAATATCACATCTAGTCGCCGTCGCTGTCTGGGAAGTTGGATACCCAAAGAATAGCGGCAAATCAGTCTCATGAACGAATGAAATCAACACAGAGTTGAATAGTCTCTTTTAGCTTTCTTGTTTGGTTGCAAGTTTAACGTCCAGTCACTCTGAAATGATGTGGCTATCAACATTTGAACTGAAGTTTATAAAGCTATCTTCTCCATTAAGTCATTGCTGTATACCAGCTCATATTAAAGTACTGCACTACTTTTCTCATCTTCAGCAAAATTTAAGTCAAGAAACAAGCTTCCAACTTCACAAAACTCTGTGTGAGCTTTTAAACCACCTCGGCTTGACTTGTCAAGAGCCAATGAGATATCAGGTCGCAAGGTATGTTTTGCATAGTTTTCCACTTTCTCTAATCCTACCAGGTGTGCAGAAGTGGTAATGTAGCTCTATGTAACAAAAAATGTCCTAATAGGTTGTTTTACAATTACAACCTGCTTGTTTGCAATAGTTTTTTGTTAACGTCTTAATAAGATTCTCCAAGTAGTTCTAAGCCTCTTGAAAACATATTGAAGCAACATGTCTAGAATTAACAGTTCCTTAGTTCTGCGCCTGTGTCATATAAGAGAGAACAGCTTTTGAAGTAAGAGATCTTTGCCTCTTTCATAGCCCTATTCAGGAACAACGGAATGAAAGATCGAGAGGCTTCAATTGGGTATGTGTGTGTTTTATATCAATTTAATGACGTATAGTAGATGTACTTCTTTAGGGGCACTTGCTCAGTCGCTAGAATGATTGAACATTGAGTGATATTTAAAAGTTGTCCACCAAGGTAAGAGATTGGTTTGGAAATAGAGCACAATTACCAACGAAGTGGAGGTAGTAGTATCTACGAGGCAAATTGAAGACTTAAAGTGTTGACATGCAACCTCCAGTTTTGTAACCATTGCTAACTGCACGAACAGCTCCAACTACCCATAGAATCCTGGTCGACTGGACCAGATACCCGTCGTACGAAGATAAAAACAGCCAGTGAGAATAAAGCGCTACCCAGGAACATCACTTAATGTTAGACAACATTTAGGTGGTGTCAAATTCATAGCTCTTTCACCCAATTATTAGAACTGGAAACAAGAAAATCCTCCGTGAATAGACGTAAGTCGTAACAAGAAAGTTCATTCTTAACGAGCAAATCTGTAAATTTTGAAAGCCGGAGAGTTGAGAACTCTTACAAATGATCTTTTACAACAATACAAGTTGATTCCTTAATTGGGTCAAGCCAAGATGCTACGGAGAAAGAGAAACTGGATTTTGAATTTAAGTTTCCAAATGACCACAATCAGTTTAAACCAAACATGTCTCAGAACCAAGGAAGATACTGATATGTTTGTGGGTAAAATTAGAACCATCCAAGTGGGGGCAAGACAATCTGTAGCAACAACTGCTTTGAGTAGTCAACCACACGAAGGGCTGGCAGCCTTACGTGGTTGACAATGCAAGGCACGGGAAATGACGGGGAAGGGGAAGAGTCAAGTAACTTTTTAGACCTCCATCCTTCGTATCACCATCCACACTGACTATGCATGCCCTTCAGTTCAGCAACTTTGCTTCAATTCACCTAGACAAGATTAAATCAATAGGGGCTTTCCTTTTCAACATCACAGGTACTGTAGACATACGCAAATTAACCCTCTAAGTGCAGCATATCGCAATACATTGTGTAATATTTACAACTGCAAGGTTAACGTTGTTCTATGTGATTGTTGTAGGAATGTCCAGGAATAGCAGAATATGAAACTGTCCGAGGAATTCGGAAACAACAAAAGCAACTGTTGCAAGTAGGTATTTAGCAGCTAAATCTGTCAACCTTTGGCAACAACTTCAGGTCACCTACTAACTGAAAACAACTTTGTCTGCTGCTGTTTTCATTTCTTCTGCAGCAAGAACACCACGAAGGCAAAGGTACCTCTCTGAGAAAGCTTCTCCTGGACCTTTTACGTTCCCTCTGGAGATATCTTCTATTTAAATCTGCAGGCGAGGAAAACGAGCAACCGAACTCTGCTAGGTAATTTACAGTATTTATAAACTTAGATATTCTTGCAGGGTCAAACGTTTGCAAAATGTGACCAAATTATCTGGTATTTGACCCCCTTCAGTATAAAACAACTTATCCAGTGGTATCAGAATAGCAGTTGATAGTGTTATCTTTATTTGAGCAATGATTTTTAATATGTCCACATGTAACTATTCAAGCTTACAGATACACGTGTATGTTAATCAAATAATTACAAGCCTGATTTAACTACTGTCCTGTCATATTTGAAGATGTGGAAAGGCACAACCTCTCATGCTGATGCAAACACTCTTACCTAGATTTATGTGCATCAAAAATGAAAGTGTTATACATGTTAGCACACGTGTAATGACACTGTACATGTTGCAATAAGTGCGAACTTATTTCACTGCAGCCTTTAAAACAAAGCCTTAATTCCCTTGTTCCATAGTAGCGCACTTGGACTGTCCATTAATTCGAATATCTCCTTATGAAAGACACTTAGATATTTCAAATCTTTCAATCTTTCAAATATTTACTTAGCAGATATGTCAAATTTTTAATTTTTAAATTGTTAATTATTTACGTAATAGATATTTTAAAATCTTAAATTTTAGATCGTAATTTTAGTTAGGGGACCTAAATAGGGATAACCTCATGGTCCTCCTTTTCAAATACTCTTTGTACCCTGTATTTGAATAAAGTATTATTAGTTTGGGCTGAAGAAAACATTAAGTCAGCCATTTTCTTATTTCTAAGAAACCTTATATACTGTCACAATTTTGCGGCCTAAAGGTTGTTGTATTAATAAATGGATTTCACTGCACATATTTCTCTCTTTTTATGCAGATGCAGTCGTTTCCATCATGAATGGAGAGAATTCCAACAAGTTAGTACAGCCAACATTAATTAGCAATAGAAAATCATGTTGTGTAGTCTGACGGCTTAACTCGTGGAGATTCGTAGTAACATATTATAATGCAATAGTACACACACAAAAAATAATAATAAATTTAATAATAGGGAAGAGGATATCATGATGATAACTAATAATTAATTTATGGGATAACGATTTTACATTGCGGTTATCATTGCTGTTAAGTCATGGTTTTTTTGCAATTGGTAAAGCTTGTCTACATGGATAACATTTGCTGATAATAACTGATAATAATTAACAATTGATGTCATCATATTTGGCTCAAAATATGAGATGCTCAACGTATAATAAATAAGATATTGTCATGACCGAAAAAAAATTATATCTGTAATTAATTATTTTGTTAGATAATCTAGGGGCAGAGGCAGTGTC